GGTAAATTTATAAATGTGATGTCTTACTTATGCATATAGTAAAACAGGGTGTTAATCGTATAATCGCTGATTAGTACTTCAGCCATACGATTTCCGGTGCTGCGAGTTCTCGGGAATTGCATGGGGAACGGATGAAATGGCGTGCCACCACGGCCTTTGGGGCTGAATTCGCCGCTCAGACCAATCGTAAAATCGTTCGGAGTTGCGGATATTTTCAACAGCCGTAAGCTGAGCATCAGATCCGTTAATTTTTTCTGAAAAAGAGTTCTGAGACCACAAAAAAAAAAGAATATCAGTGATATCACTGGGATGGGGATTTTTTTATTAGATACTTTTGGCAAGATAAAAATAGAACAGCTGGCATGGGCAGAGTAATTATTACATCTTGAAAAATTCTTATATTTTAATACTTTATTTTTGAAAAATATACTGGCGAAAATGGTGTAGAGGCAAATATCACTGCTCTCGTGTAGAACCGGAGACTGAGCCAGTGCGACAGCCAACTCCACTTATTCATTCTTTTCGATGGTAAATTGGTACCGGCATAAACCGTCAATTAACTTGCTTTTAAGCAGTGTATAGAGAGAGAGAGATACCATCGGTAGCTTTGCCACTCTCCGATTGCTACTGCTATCTGCCACTACTAGGCTGCTTTCGAGTGCTTGCATCTCATGAAGTCAGTGAAATGTAGTAGAATTTCATTTCATTCATATGTCTTATCCGGCGATCTTGATTATTTTTCCCCATAATTGTTTGTTTCTGCGGCAGTTTATGTCAGGGCGAGTTTAACGCGCATCGTGAAGAACCTCACAGCAATTATCCGAAAAATGTGGTGGTTTTGCTGAAAAATTCCAGTGCTGCGGTCATGGTGAAATGGCCATATTTTCCTACCGTAACCTATCGTTTAGAAAACCAGATAAACAGAAGAAAACTGACTGAAACTGTGTATATTACCATATCAATAGATTTGCCCAAGCTGCTAATTGCATCGAACGGGCTGGACTCATTGCTTGGGTAGCAATCTGCGCATGGATCCAGCAATTTTGCTGTAGTAACGGCACGAGCATTTAAGCGAGGCTGGACTAGGTTCGGCGGCAGTGTTACACGTCGCAAAATTCTTGTTGTTGTGGGTTCTGAACTTCCATGTGCTTGTCCATGTATCCGATGTGCCCGAGGCGCTTCTGCTTGACGCACCACACGGATGACTGATTGAGGTAAACTCTAAAACAAACAGATTTTCTCGAAAATTTGTCAACGATGCGATCGAGTGCAAATTAAGTAATGGCCTCAGAAGAGTTATTTGAAAGCTTTAGATGTAAGTGAGTCATTGAGTTACAGTAGTTGATTCCTCTGGGAGGCGAGACAGTTGCCGGGACTGCCGACAGACTGACGAA